TTTCTGTTGAGACATTCAGATGGTAGAGTCAGAATTTGGCGTAAACAGAATGAGAACATGGATCCATCATGCCTTGTTACCACTGTGCAGGCTGGTGGTGGTGGTGTAATGGTGAGGGGGATGTTTTCTTGGCACACTTTAGGCCCCTTAGTGCCAATTGGGCATCGTTTAAATGCCACGGCCTACCTGAGCATTGTTTCTGACCATGTCCATCCCTTTATGGCCACCATGTACCTATCCTCTGATGGCTACTTCCAGCAGGATAATGCACTATGTCACAAAGCTCGAATCATTTCAAATTGGTTTCTTGAACATGACAATGAGTTCACTGTACTAAAATGGCCCCCACAGTCACCAGATCTCAACCCAATAGAGCATCTTTGGGATGTGGTGGAACAGGAGTTTCGTGCCCTGGATGTCCATCCCACAAATCTCCATCAGCAAGATGCTATCCTATCAATATGGGCCAACATTTCTAAAGAATGCTTTCAGCACCTTGTTGAATCAATGCCACGTAGAATTAAGGCAGTTCTGAAGGCGAAAGGGGGTCAAACACAGTATTAGTATGGTGTTCCTATAATCCTTTAGGTGAGTGTATATACTGGCCTTTGGTGCAGTATGGATGTTTATGTCACAATATTTGGTTAGAAGACACTTGATGACAATGACGTTTGAAGGATTTGACGTCTAAGATTGACTGTGAATAATGACTTAAATTGTACTGTTTCTCATTTGTGTACATTTTACAGTACATGTGTGGGCATGTTTGGAGCTTCACAGACGTGGTCATTAGGGATTGTCATTGTATGAAAAGAACTGTGTAAAAAAATATGGGATATGGGTTTTTGAATGAGTAGAGGATGAGTAAATAATAACATTAACATCTTAAAATGTTTCTTTTAAAGAAAACAATGACAATATAAAACAATTAAATGAAAGGGTCACTATTGGTCAAGGCCTTTTGTAAAATTTCAAGCCCGGAGGCAGACCAGCGGTGCCCATCACCCAGTACATCACGTGTAATATCAGAATATTGTTAGGTGGGTCTCTACTCAGCAAAGTTTAACACTTCAAAATGAAAAAGCACTGGTTTTCAGAAGTGTGTTAAGCAATGTGTCTGCTTAAAAAGGTGTCACTGAATCCCACTCTACTGATGGAACAAAATCACTACACTGCAATAGATTTACAGAGGCAATTTCGTCTAAGTGCTTTGGTCATCTCGCAGTATTGGCCAAATGGGAACATATGAGGTACCCAATGGTCTGATTACCAGTCAATTTATCTATACTATCAACACATCCCCAGTAGCTCTCCTTCCTTAAGATGTATCTTTTTGCAGAATCAGCCACAAAGACAGAAAAGAATTGAAATGCACTGTACCTTCACCAGTAGTGCTGGTGATATTATTAGTCAGACTAACTTTTTGAGCTTCAGAAAGTGGTGGGTATGTTCAAAATACCATACTACTATTCTTCTCATATTTTTCATTTAGAATACCCCTAGAATGCACTCAACTAGATTTTGGTAACTTTCAGGCTGTATCCAAAATAGCATACTCTATAGGTACTTTTTTTGAGCAAGTAATTACATCGCAACCGCTAAAAAAGTACATTCTATAGGAAAGTGAAGTTTGAATGTAATGCCATAATTGTCACATGACTTACAGTGTTGCTTCACTGCCATTCACAAATGCTCTCCTGTGGCCTCATGGGATAGTAAAGTGTCCAATGGATGCACACTTCAGAATCTCTCTTGAAGTAGTAGGTTATGTACTTTTTCTTACCTATAGTTTTATGAATACTGTGAATTCAGACATACTGTTTTTCGCCTACTATACAGTAAGGAAGAATGCAATTTCGGATGCAGACAAATATTTCATTGTCTGAAGATGATCTGAGCAAAACTTGGGCTGCATCCAAAATCGCATACGTCCCTACTATATAGTAGGTGAAAAACAGTATGTGACAAAAAAAAGTATGTCCGAATTCACAGTACTAGATGTACTGTAGTAACCGGATGACCTACTTCTTCCGGAGAGATTCTAAAGTGTGGATTCGATGGACACTTTACTATCACATTGACGCTGGTAGGTCACATGATAATGACAACATGGTGAATGTAGTGCGGCCAGATTACATTCATACTACACACACTCATACTATTTGCCTATAGAACATACTTTTTTAGCGGTCGTGAAGTAATTAATTATTCATAATAAGTACCTACACATGAGAGCATATGCGATTTTAGACACAGCCTTGGTGAAGATTCGATAAACGATCTAGGAGTTTGGAAGTTGTTTTTTCCAAAAATTCCAAAATTAATAATATTACTAATATTAAAAAAAATAAATCATGACGACGCTGAAATCTGTTTTGTTCACCTTGATCCATGGATTCCACTGAGATAAGAGGACATAAAGACTTGCTTATAATTTTATTCAAAACAACCATAATCGTTTCCAAAAACAATAAGTGAACACTATACACGCTTAATTACCAGCAAGATTTGTGCCAACATTTTGTGACAAACGAATTGGGAACACTGGGAAAATGTGCGTGTGGCGACATTTCTGCAAAAAGATAAAACAGATGAACATGAGTCTGCCAACGTGTTATGATGTACGTTTTGCAGCAGTTTGGAAATGAGATATCAGGTGAGTGCCGCTAAAAGGTTAATGCTCTATCACATTTAAAAATAACGTACAACCTACACTAAACCCTAAAAACACATTTGCTGAGGCAACCATGCCATTTTGGCTGGCTCTCCAAGTCTTTGAGCTCTTTAATTGTGACTCATGTTTCACGGGACTCGTACCTGAATGCTCCGCATTGCAAGTGCCCTCCAGTACCAGGTGAGTTACAGAGCAAGTTTACTACATCAGAAAAGCCACACATATGCAGCTCACAAATCACACACTTGTGTTTTGAGGTCATCGCATAGTATGTGCAAAGACTCACAATAAATTGCAGTGAATTGTATGTTTTTGGAGTTTTGAAAAAAAAAAATGTTGGTAAGCGCGTTTTCCCAATGGCATTAAACACACTACTGTTCCAGTAAGTAGTTCCAGAGTCGGTCTTTCTACAAACCAAGCTTCCCAAAAAAAGCTTCGAACTAATTTGGCATTCAGTGTTGGACTGTCACTTCACGACTGCTGAGTAAGTCTGTGCGATTGAGCTGAGCGTGGGACCGTGAGTGACAGTTATTGAGCTGATGAGCCGTGAGACGTCTGTATGGGAACATGTTATTGATTATCGCAATGCTGGACGAAGTTTGAGGCTTTCCCATAGTGTTGCAGCTGCCCTTTTAGGGATTTTGACTGACCCAGTGAAGAAAGAGTCTGCCGAGGTGCTGGGACCAGTGGACCCCCCCTTTCACTTATGCCACATGGCTTCGTATATCCATAGGCTCACGGCAGACCCCCCACTAGGCATAGGATAAAGTGGCTTAATCAAAGTTGTCCAGGGGAAAATGGCCCCCTCCTTCTCTGAATAAATGTTTGGGCCCGGGCTAGTTGTCTTGTGTGCCCTCGACCCCCCGCCACACCCTGCTGCCCTGCTCCTCAGACCTTTGACCCAGCAGTGAAAAGTTAGTTGGGATGTTGGTGAACTCTCTCAGGGTCGGCTGTGCGGAAGGTGCTGGGAAAGTGCCCTCCGAGGGCCAGGGGTTGGAGGGGTAGGCGTGGGTACCGTGAAACGACACTCCCTTTGACCCGAGTCTCCGGACCAAGCCTGAGCACGCCGCTAATTTAATTGTTACAGGCAATGCGGCTGGCCAATGATAGAAGGGACACTCGAAATCAGTTTGGCTGGATGTCAGCCGTATATTCCGTTTGCTCGCTCTCAGCGCCTCTATCTCTTTGTTCTCTGCAGGCTGTTTTCTTTTCTGATTACACCCTCCAAGGTTCTGCTCTTCTGCGGCATCTGGTCATTGAGCTTCTCTCTTTCACTTGATCTCTCTGTAAGGAGCATCTCAGCATTCATAAAGACAAGGACTCAATAGTGTGGATGGCCAATGATCAATTTCGCATTCCTTTGTAGATGAACAACCAGTAAAAGATTGAATCAATATGGAGTTTTTTTATAAGTGATTTGGTTAAATTAAAAGTGTAACATCTATCTATCTATCTATCTATCTATCTATCTATCTATCTATCTATCTATCTATCTATCTATCTATCTATCTATCTATCTATCTATCTATCTATCTATCTATCTATCTATCTATCTATCATTTTAGCTACACATAATACTGAAAAAATAGCTCTTCTAATGTCAAACCGATGGAGACACGTCATATTAAAATTCCCTTTGGTTCATTTGTGAAACAAGCTCAACACATCCCTCTTGTGGTTGTTCACTGTAGGAAAACGTTTGAAGAAGCAGCTAGAACTTTGTGGTTGTTTTGTAAAATAAAACCTTTTACATCTAAGATAATATTTTAATTTTCTAATTTTTGTTTGAAATTTGCGTGTTACTGTACGAGATTCGATTTAGGTAATCAGACCTTCGTTGCTTTCTGATGACGCCGTGGTTTTAGTTTCTGACACTTTTTAAATACAGTTTAAAAAAAATCAATTTCGTTCTTTCAGTCAGTGAGTGACAAAGGAAAAAAAGTTTAAAGAATTTAGACTAAACATGACAAAATATCACAGTCATCTATCTCTGTTAATGTCTGGTTTAGTTTGATAGTAAAATTAGTCTAATCGCTAAATTTGCAGTGGTTAAGACTCTTTGGTGGCGAAAAAGAAAATCACTATAAGCTCCGACAAAATCCTCAAACGTCGACATTCTAAAACCGTTAAGCTAGCGAAACAATGTAGCGAAACGTCAACTCAACATTTAGCATTCTAAAATGGAACAGTTGAGGTTTAGAAAAAAACGTCGAACATTCTAAACAATAGTGAATGTAAACGTTACACTGTAATGTAACAGTTCGGAGAGAAAAAATCCTCACACGGAAGTTGTAACTCAAACACAGCTAACAGAACACGTTGGCTCCTTCAGGGGGGAACGGAGAACTGAGGGGGAGTGAGAAGTTTAGGGAAGAGCCCTCTTTCCTTCAGCTGCTGACGCGGATGGGACTGTTTGTGCAACGACGCAGCGGCCCATCGAAAATCCAACAATGTTATCTGGGATTATAACTGTTTGGACCATTCTTGCGGTAGCACAATGTTACTTTTCCGAGGAAAATTATACCGACGAGTCAAAGATGCAGCCGCCCACGGTCGTTATAGTTGTAATCGCACGGAACGCCGCTCATTCTTTACCATATTACCTCGGAGCTCTCGAGAGATTAAACTATCCCAAAGAGCGCATCTCTATCTGGTAGGTGACTTCCTTCCCTGCAGTTTAACATGGCTGATTATCTTTTTACTATTTGTAGATGTCAAAAGGTCAATCTTATTTGCATTTCATCACCTCCTCCCCTTGATTTTTGCAGACTTTCCCCCAAAAGCAGACCCCCTTCCTCCTACGTTCAGGATGTGTTCGTTTATTCACTTTAAAACATTTATTATATTTCTAGCACATACAATTTTTTTTAGAAAATATATACTAGGCAAAAAATATGCCAAATAGTGCGAATAACGTTCAAAATAGCTTTAAGTCGTTTAATTTGTGACTTAAATAAACAAGAGAAGTCAGATGGTACATCCCAAATAGGATAATCTGTTATTACATGTTAGCTCATAGTTAATTTGTATTACTCAGTGTATGGGTCAATGACCAATAAGAGTGTCCTAGATAAAGAAATGGAAAAATCTTTTAAAAATGTAGTTAAAACACATTGGCCAGGTACATGTTGGTTTCATAGAGTTTTGAAAAACTGTTATACCATTTCCAACTAAAGTTTTAAATTTAATTACTCTAAAAATGTCATGTGGTGCAACTACCAAGTAAAAAGTTATACCATAATTTCCGTTAACCTTGAATACATAAATGTAAACATCTTAAAGGTTAAGTTCACCCAAAAATGAAAATTATCCCATCATTTACTCACCCTCAAGCCAATCTTCTTTCAGCCAAACACAATCAGAGTTATCCTGGCTCTTCCAAGCTTTATAATGGGAGTGAATGGTACCTGAGATTTTGAAGCTCAAAAAGCGCATCCACCCATCATGAAAGTAATCCATATGGCTCCAGGGGGTTAATAAAGGCCTTCTGAAGCGAAGCAATGCGTTTTTGTAAGAAAAATATCCATATTTATTACTTTATAAACTATAATCAAGTCATATACACCTAAATTATGGGATTATTATCATTTTTGGGTGAACTAACCCTTTAATTATTATTTTTTTTTTTTATATAAGTTAAATATATTTTTTAAGGATAAAAACAAAAAGTATATATTAATTCATAAAAATCATTACATTTTTGGAGGGAGTTGCACCACATGACATTCTACAACCTGAAGTCACTTTTCCTTGTTATAAAAAGGGCAAATTATCCATATATTAAAAGACTTGTTGACCTTAGCATGCAGTCCTGAAGGTGATCAGGGGTCCTCGCTATGATATCACTTCCTGTCTTATGTTGTTTATGTTTCTGCATGTCGGATAAACGACATGACTTTACCGGTCTTTTGACACAATAGAATGACACCAATGTCTCTAATAAATTGCTGTCTCTCTCTGTTTATTGTTTCCTGTAGGGCAGCAACAGACCACAACACTGACAACACAACAGCAATCCTGCGAGAATGGCTCACCGTCATGCAAACACAATATCACTATGTGGAGTGGAGACCTTTAGATAAACCCACGTGAGACGATCATCACACAACATATGCTGTCCTGATTAAACCACAATTCTTAAATGCTTTTGGATGTTTGGAAGTTTAAGTACCACCAGTCAAGTTTGATTCGAAGGCTTGTTTTATCTGCACAGGTCCTATGCGGGTGAGCTGGGGCCCAAGCACTGGACTAACGGCCGCTATGAGTATGTTATGAAGCTCAAACAGGCAGCGCTGAACTTTGCCAAGAAACGCTGGGCTGACTACATTCTGGTATGACCCAGTTTAAGCATATACACCCTGATTTTGGACCATTCACACCCAAATATCTATAATAAGAATACACTCACCGGCCACTTTATTAGGTACACCTGTCCAACTGCTCGTTAACACTTAATTTCTAAGCAGCCAATCACATGGCGGCAACTCAGTGCATTTAGGCATGTAGACATGGTCAAGACAATCTCCTGCAGTTCAAACCGAGCATCAATATGGGGAAGAAAGTTGATTTGAGTGACTTTGAACGTGGCATGATTGTTGGTGCCAGAAGGGCTGGTCTGAGTATTTCAGAAACTGCTAATCTACTGGGATTTTCACGCACAACCATCTCTAGGGTTTACAGAGAATGGTCCGAAAAAGAAAAAACATCCAGTGAGCGGCAGTTCTGTGGGCGGAAATGCCTTGTTGATGCCAGAGGTCAGAGGAGAATGGCCAGACTGGTTCGAGCTGATAGAAGGGCAACAGTGACTGAAATAACCACTCGTTACAACCGAGGTATGCAGCAAAGCATTTGTGAAGCCACAACACGCACAACCTTGAGGCGGATGGGCTACAACAGCAGAAGACTCCACCGGGTACCACTCATCTCCACTACAAATAGGAAAAAGAGGCTACAATTTGCAAGAGCTCACCAAAATTGAACATTTGAAGACTGGAAAAATGTTGCCTGGTCTGATGAGTCTCGATTTCTGTTGAGACATTCAGATGTTAGAGTCAGAATTTGGCGTAAACAGAATGAGAACATGGAACCATCATGCCTTGTTACCACTGTGCAGGCTGGTGGTGGTGGTGTAATGGTGTGGGGGATGTTTTCCTGGCACACTTTAGGCCCCTTAGTGCCAATTGGGCATCGTTTAAATGCCACGGCCTACCTGAGCATTGTTTCTGACCATGTCCATCCCTTTATGGCCACCATGTACCCATCCTCTGATGGCTACTTCCACCATGTCACAAAGCTCTAATCATTTCAAATTGGTTTCTTGAACATGACAATGAGTTCACTGTACTAAAATGGCCTCCACAGTCACCAGATCTCAACCCAATAGAGCATCTTTGGGATGTGGTGGAACGGGAGATTCGCATCATGGATGTGCAGCCGACAAATCTGCGGCAACTGTGTGATGCCATCATGTCAATATGGACCAAACTCCCTGAGGAATGCTTCCAGCACCTTGTTGAATCTATGCCACGAAGAATTGAGGCAGTTCTGAAGGCAAAAGGGGGTCCAACCCGTTACTAGCATGGGGTACCTAATAAAGTGGCCGGTGAGTGTATATATAAAAAATAAATTAAAACCAGATTCAGTTCTTATTGGGTCACACTAGAAATTGTGCTGGAATTTACTAGAATCATTTTTGCGAATACCTTGTTTGTTTGTTTTATTTATAAAGCACTATTAAAACAACAGGACGTTGACCGATGTGCTGTACAATTATACGTCAAATAAAATGATCAACAATAACACCATAACATGACACATACAATCAACACCAGACAGATTCAAATATATTAGAGCCCCTTTCTAAGTTAACCAGTTGGATCAAACGCTAATGAGAGTAGGTGTCATTTTAAATGTCGCTTCAAAGAACCTAATGAAGATGCTAGTCTTAGATGAAGCGCTAAGTTATTACAACGATTTAGAGCTGGTCTTTTTTAGTCTGGTCATAGAAACCAAGTCTTCTGACTGGTTGATCTTAGCATACTAGATAGTTTATGCACTTGAAGAAGGTACACTAAATATGGAGACGCCAGTTTGTGTAATGCTTTATATACAAGGGTCTATAATTTGAAATAAATTCTAAATTGAATTGGCAACCAATGTCTAGTTAGGCTAATATAAGCATTACATGCTGTTTTCATGAGTACCTTTCAAAAGTTTGGCAGCAGCGTTTTGCACCTATTGAAGATGATAACACCCACGTACAGTAAATTACAGTAATACAGTTTTTCAGCATTTTTTTTTTTCCAAAATCACTAAAGACTGGAATGGTTTAACCTTTGCTATTGATCTTAGATAGAAAAAAGAAGAAAAGAAAAACAGGATTTAAACACAGAATTAATCTGTTTATCAAATTTCAGAGAATTGTCAAACTGTACACCAAGATTCTTTACCACCATTTTACAGAAGTGGGCCAAAATGCCCAGATCGAAAAAAGTTTGGGTGTACCATCCATGATTTAATTTGATGTAAACAAATTCAATAGTTAAGGTAGCATATATGATGAAAACAGGAATGGGCCAATAATAGATCCTTGGGGAACCCCACTATACAATGGAGAAAGGATTTAAACCATTCAAGTTTTTAGGCAAGTGTAATGACTCAGAGGGACGAGACTGATGCATATGCAACAAATTTATTAAACTGAAAAGTCAGACAAAAAGGTAACTCGGGATAATAATAATAGGAGGCAGGCTGAGACGTGAGTCGAACCGGGCAGGAGGTCGAGGGCTGGCAGCGAACCTTCAGTATCCAGGGACAGGCTTAGGGTCGAGGCAGGCGGCAGAGAATCAGAATCCGGGACGGGCTGGAGGTCGAGAGGCAGGCGGCGGACAATCAGACAAGCTTAGTTCAGCGTGGGAAACAGGTAGACTGAGGAACAGGAGAATTGCTCGGACATGCACACATAGAGAGGCAATACTTCGCAAAGAATGCTCTGAGAACGAGGCAGATAAAGGCGGGCAATGAGATATGATTCAGAACAGGTGAAGGTAATCAGAGCACTAATGATGCATACTAAGGAGAAAGTATGCAAATCACTAGAATTCAGGAGAATTCAGACTGGACGCGTAACAGCAAGAGAAGAGGATATCGAAATCAATGGTGTCAAACGCTGCGCTGAGGTCTAATAACAATAAAATCACTGAACTACTACTGTGATTTGCTTTAAACCCCAATTGAATTTTTTCAAATGTATCATTTTAATATCAGAACTATTAATGACATTCTTTGTGTTTATGTCCTCATCTGCAGTATTCAGACACAGACAACATCCTGACCAACCCGGACACCCTGCACCTCCTGATGGCGGAGAACAAGTCTGTTATTGCCCCCATGCTGGATTCACAGTCAGCATACTCCAACTACTGGTGTGGCATCACTCCACAGGTACAGAGCCATGAGTTTCCAGCTGGGAAGTGTGTATTAGTGTGTGTACATGTGTATGTAACGCAATGAGGGATAGCTAACATTTCATCTTGCTATACGCCACATCAATAAAGTCATATCGGCTTCCACTATTGCTGTATAATATTAAGAGCAATGGAGAAGCTACTTTGAAACGGTAGTTTCTAAATGTATAGACTACTGGTGATTTAAATTAGTTAAACTACAGGCAAGCTTATACAAAGTTAACTGCATTCTGTGTGTGTACCATACAAAGGATTGGGGTCACCACGAGTTTTTTCAAAAAATGTATAATTTTATTCAGTAAATATGCATTCATTTATCATAAATGGCAGTAAAGACATTTATAGTGTTTTCAAATATTTCTATTTCAATTAAATGCTGTTCTTATGAACTTTCTATTCATCGAATTAAAAAAAAGTATCATGGTTTCCACAAAAAAATATTAAGCAGCACAACTGTTTTCAACATTGATAACAATCAGTTATGTTTTTTTGAGTATCAAATCAGGATATTAGAATGATTTCTGAAAGATCATGTGACACTGGACTGGACTGGAGAAATTATGCTGAAAATTCAGCTTTGATCACAGGAATAAATGACATATTAACATATATTAAAATAGAACACACTTCTTTTAAATTGTAATAATATATTTCACAATATTACTGTTTTACTATATTTTTGTGTCAAATAAATGCAGCCTTGGTGAGCAGAAGAGACTTCTTTTAAAAACCTTTTCTTTTAAAAATCTTACCGACCCCAAACCTTTCAGCATTAGTGAATATATACATTATTTAAATATATATATATATATATATTATTTTTGCCATCACATATTTTGCTACTAAATGACTTAAAATGTTGCATTGGAACTTAATTTATTAGATTTTTTTTTTCAAAATGGGTTCATTTACATGAATTGTCCAGACAAACTCATTCAAATGAATCAGATTTCTCAATGCTACATATACAAGAGCAAATATTGACAGTCAAGCTGTGTGCGCAAACAATGTGACAAAACAAGTCCTCTATTCAGTTAAAGTGAGTATCTCCAAAAAAACAACAACAAAAACATCACTTTTGAGGGTAATTGTTCATTATGGGTCTGTTTAGATGCTGTTTGCTCAAACACTTTGTTTTTTGACTATGTTGTTCAGTTTCCTCTCTGTTTCAGGGCTATTATCGTCGTACCGCTGAGTACTTCCCCACAAAGCAACGTCAAAGGCTGGGCTGCTATCCTGTCCCGATGGTCCACTCCACTATCCTGCTGGACCTGCGCAAACAGGGCACCAGGGAAGTGTCCTTCCACCCGCCTCACAAAGACTACTCCTGGCCCTTCGACGACATCATCGTTTTTGCCTTCTCCTGCAGGATATCGGGTACAGCGCCCCCTTCTGGATGACTCCAGCGTATCTCACTTCCCTTATGCAATATGATGAGTTTAACATTTGGATTTAGTTTGGAGGGAATGAGGGGAAAATTCTTCTCTGTGTCCAACATTTTGTAGGATTGACAGTCAAATAGCATTGGAAAGAGCTGACATAGTGAATACAATTTCTGACTATATTTATTTATCTTATATAATTCGCTTTTTTTAACCAGAGGTTCAGATGTATCTGTGCAACAAGGAGCGTTACGGTTATGTGAACGTACCGGCGAAGCCTCATCAGACGGTCGAGGATGATCGAATCAATTTTGTCCACCTTTACCTGGAGTCTTTGAGTGAGTGACACTGACATTTACATTTTTTATTGAATGATATTATCAGCATTACACTTTTGCAATAACTTAAAAATGCCCCCCTTTTTGCTTTAATGATAACAGCACTTAAGCTAGCATGTATTTTCCCTTGTGAAAAAGAAGTGCATGTGTATTGAATGTGCACTTGTAGTGTACTTCAAACTTTACAAATATATATTGTACTTGTAAACTGTACTTGCAGATAATAGAATATGATATATATATATATATAAGGCTGCTTAAGTGTACTTAAAGATAGTACACTTTCATGAATATGTTTCTGAACACACTTAAGTACACTAAGTGCACTTTTTGAAAGTTTTAATTCAAAATACATTTGAAATCATTATGTTTTAATAATCTTTTGTCATGATTTAAAGAAGTACACTTATTTTGATGTGTTGGCTAACACACTAAACTAAAGCACATGTAACGTACTTGATTTTCATTTTAACTGTAGCATGTTATTCAATATTACAATATTACAAAGTTAATATATATTAAATTGCAACTTCATAACAAATGTGTAATTAGAAATGTATTTAAATACATAAACTTCTAAATGTCTTAATCATTTGTTAACAAACAAGTATTCATTACTTTAATGAGCTCATTGTTTCTGCCTTAAATTATTATATTGTTTAAATACATTTTTCGCTAACTGTGATTTTGTATATGTACATTGATGAAATACACAACTTAGACAGTTTCCTCTGATAACAGATTACTCTAATTTGTAATGTGGACTGCATTTCCTGTAAAGCTGCTTTGAAACGATGTGTATTGTGAAAAGCGCTATACAAATAAATGTGAATTGAATTGAACAACTTACAAGTTTGAATAGAAATGTCATTAAAGTATATTTTAGTTTGCAATAAACACATTGCCCATATTTCAAAGACAATAGAACAGAATTAATTATCACACTTTAGATTAGGGTCCAATTTTCACTATTAAATACGGTTCCTTTTTTTATTTGTGTCCTAATAAGATGGAAAATAGCAATGAATAAATTTTCTGATTTCTCTTTATTGTCTTGCCCTTTTTAGGGTTAAAGTCCATTCTGAGAAATAAAGTCACAAGAACCCTTTTTATTTTTTACTCCGAGGTGGAAACGGGCTTTCATAACAATGACTTTTACAAAACTTAAATGATCATAATAAATTAAGAATGTTCTTGTGTGATGATTTTCAATGTTGTCTCAGACTCTTTGGACCCCACTGTATGTGAAGCTTGTGCTAAGCTTGTGCTAATTAGTGATTAGATCGAACACAATCATTGTCAGGGATTTGAGTCCTAATTGATGTCATTTCTCCCGCAGTCCATGGGCCGCCCATGTACGTCTCTCGCTATGTCCACGTTCCTCCCAAACAGTCAGATCTCATGGGTTTTGATGAGGTAAAGTGCATACTCTGTTTTTTTTTTTACCATTGTTGTGAGCTACAGCAATCACTTCATTTGATAGAATAATATTTTGCATGTGTGTGCGTGCATACGTGTGTGTGTGTGTTCTCCTCAGATCTACTTGGTAAACCTGCGCAGACGTCCAGACCGCAGGGACAGGATGTTATGGTCGTTGTATGAGCTTGAGATTGATGCTAAAGTTGTGGATGCCGTAGATGGAGCGTAAGTATAGATAAACACACAATAGACATCAGAGCTGCACGATTCCGAATAAACAGACAAATAGATCTTAAAATAGAGATCGCGATAAAATAGAGATAGACAACTAAACAAAATAACATACAATTTACTAGAGGTTCTGACAAAATGTTAATTTCTGCAATCTATTTAAAAATATTGAATGCATTTGAATGTTCAAATGAATGATTCAATGACTCACTCATAGACACTTCACTTGTTTCATTACTGGATGAATCAGTGTTTTAAAATACATTTTTTAATGATGTTTTATTAACAAAGTTTGGGAGGAGCACGTTCAGATACAGGTGAAACTCGAAAAATTTGAATATCGTGCAAAAGTTCATTTATTTCAGTAATTCAACTTAAAAGGTGAAACTAATATATTATAGACACATTACATGCAAAGTGAGATATTTCAAGCCTTTATTTGTTATAATTTGATGATTATGGCTTACAGCTATGAAAACTTTTCACAATATTCTAATTTTGAATTTGGGGTTTTCATAAGCTGTAAGCCATAATCATCAAAATGATAACAAATAAAGGCTTGAAATATCTCACTTTGCATGTAATGAGTCTATATAATATATTAGTTTCACCTTTAACCCTTGTGTTCTGTTCGATTTCTGTGTACACCCCTTATGGACCGGGACAAATTGACCCTAATTGGATTAAATACAATTCCTCAAAAATCATACTATAAAAAACAACAAAGATTTAGATACAAACTGTAAACTTTTAATATCAACATTTGTCAAACATTACAAAAACATTATATCTGAAAATATGATTTATGAAAATGTTTTTAAAACATTTTTTAAAACAGTTTTGTTTTGACAAAATTGGAAAATAAACAGTATACTGATTTTTTTTGCATATATTTTTTTTTTACTTTTTTTTTGTTGATTTTTTACATTTTATGCTTTGAACATCGTAACTGAACAAAAAAAATTTGCTGTATAATGAAAATTTTCCATTTTCCTAAGTTAACTTTCCCTAGTTTCCTAAGACCTATTTTCCTAGTTTCATTATTCACTCACTGGGAAGTGAGAAACCAAACATAACAAAAACATACATCAAATAAATGTTTTTTATTTATTTTTTGGCTCTGTGAAGCTGCCTTTGAAAATCCTACATAAAAGTTTTGGTTAAAAGCTAGGTATTTTAGATATTTTGAATATTGAAATTAGAGCTTATTTTACTATCTGTGTCTGACAAAGATTTTCATCTGTAATTTGCAAATAATTCTGAACACTGTAATTTTATCTTTTTCAAGTGTGTTTGGTTAGGGTTAGAGCACTTTTAGATGCACTTGCACGTTAGAACTGGAGTTGAAGTGCCCTGACATACAGAAAATAAATGTTTTTATTTTGTGTCTGTACAGTTGCTTTTGAATGGCTGTCTATGAGGGTCAAATTGACCCGCGAACATCACGAACGTAACAGTAATTTTGTTTGTATATGTCAAAACACATCAGCATGTTGAAACTTTGCATGCATGTTCATCATGATAAATGAGAAAAAGTCACAAAATATCAAGAAAAAAAACAAAGGTTAACCAGTATTTCCAACAACTTGAAAATCGAAACGGGTCAAATTGACCCGCAACATAACACAAGGGTTAAGTTGAATTACTGAAATAAATGAACTTTTGAACGATATTCGAATTTTTTGAGTTTCACATGTAATCAGCCCAATCAATTTGAAGCATGAAGTTTCTTTCAAAAGGTGATTTACTCCTCTACCGATCACTACCGCTGACATCAGTGTTTATATCCGAACTCTGAACTTATATCCTAGTACTTCCGTGATAATCTGAATTATTATAACACAGAAACAATGATGCTGTGTGGTTGAAAAGACTAATCGTTGTCATTTAGGAATGAGATTGTGTGGTTGTCTGAATCAAGTTCGCGATCGATTAACAATTAATCATGCAGCTCTAATAGACATTTACTGTTATAAGAATCTTCATGCATTCTAGTTTATATCTACAGATAATGCAATAATTGTGTTTTGAATTGCGTGTGTATGCAGCGCTTTGAACAGCAGCGACATTAAGATTCTAGGTGTGGATCTCTTACCTGGTTACTATGACCCTTTCTCTGGGCGCACGCTGACTAAGGGAGAGGTCGGCTGCTTCCTGAGCCACTACTACATCTGGAAAGAGGTCAGTGGCCCCGAAAATTATTTAAACACATGCCTTTTGGTTTGGTATTTTATCTAAAGCAGTGTCATTCAAACCGAGGTGTAAAGAGTACCTGAAAACCAAAACCATACTTGAGTTAAAGTACAGATACCTTACAGCGAAAATGACCAATTCCAGTTAACCAATTCCAATACGACTTGTATAAAAGTCTTAGAGTATCTGACTTTAACAGTACTGAAGTATTTTACTCGTACTGAATGTAGGCTCAAAGATGCACTAGTCCTCAATGCCAGTGAAAAACAAGATACAGTTGATTTGTGAGGAGAGCAATCAGATGTTTATTTATTTTTTTAAATCTGAATAAATCTGAACACCTCAAAATTGCAATAAATCAAGGTCAACACCCGTAAATGTCTACAAACACTCAATTCTCAGTTAAGCTCAACAGCTCAAAAAGGGCGTAAGTAAACCAATATCCTTCAAAAAGGTCTCTTCAATACAACGGATAAATAATAAAATAATGTTAAGTCAAATTAAATAGTCAAAGTCTACTTGCTCTGGACGTGCTGGTTTCGGCATGTCCTCACCTTATATAAGAAACACCTGTGATTCAGCAACTACCTGCTAATAATGCACTCGCATTAGTGTAAAGTAGCCCTGTTGACGAGTTTGGGTGAACAAGGGCAAAACCCACCAGATATAGTACACATTTAATGCCCTTTATGCACTTTTGTAGCAGAAATAAACTGCTGGAGAAAAAGATGTAAAATGTAACGAGTAATTGCATTATTTTCCACAAATGTGTTGGAGTAAAGAGAACATGTAAAAAAAAATTGTCAAGTAGAGAGTAAAAGTTGCTAATATATTTGATACTCTATAAAACTACAAAGTAGCCAATAATTACATTATGTACAGTAATTAATTACATTTACTCAAATACTTTACACCGCTGCATTCATGCATTTTTCTGCATATTTTATTGTACACTGCCATTTTAAAGGTTTGGAGTTGCAAGGATTTCGAAAGAAGTCTCCTATGCTCATCAAGGATGAATTTATTATTTGATCAAAATAAATATTATTACAATGCAAATGTATTTTAAAATGTCATTTATTCCAGTGATGTAAAGCTGTATTTTCAGCATCATTACTCCAGTCTTCAGTGTCTTCATTCTGATATGATGATTTGATGATCAAGAAACATTTATTATTTATCAATGTTGGAAACAGTTTTTGTAACCAAGATAAAAAAAATCAGGATTTTCTGATAAATAGAAAGTTTTAAAGAACAGAATTTATTTGAAATAGTAGTGTCTTTACTGTTACTTTTGATCAATTTAATGCATCTTTGGTGAATAAAATTCTGAATTAAATCTTACTGACCCCAAACATTAAAATAAAATAAGCTGTTTTTATTTCAAAATGATTTGTCATCTATTGCTCATAGATGGTAGACATGCAGCTAGACAAGGCGCTGATCTTTGAGGATGACATGCGTTTCCAAGTCAACTTTAAACGCCGTCTGATGCGGCTGATGGAGGAGGTGGAGCAGGCGGAGCTGGACTGGGACATCATGTGAGTGACACCTGTCTGTCACACGGTTGTCGTGGAGACTTGAGGAAACCAGAATTAGAATATTGCTTTTGTTGCAGTTATAAGAAAAACTTAAATTCGGCTTGGTCACTTTTTTTTTTTACATTTTACACACTTCTGTTTTTATGTTTGTATAGCATAAACTTGTCATATCTATGTAAACATTTAAAGTATGTTTATTTAAAGTGCCCCTGTTATGCTTTTTCAGATATTAGTGTGTAATATAGTTGTTTGTGACTGTAAAAGATCTGCAAAGTTTCAAAGATCAAAGTGCTTGATAAATGGAGTTATTGTCTCCCAAAAGAAAGAAGCGATGCTGAACTGCCTGAAACCAGTCGTCAGTAATTCCAGGCTCACTTCCTGAACGAACATACATAGGTTTGTAACAAATTTGCATAATGCTAGCCATATATAATGCCAGACATATTTATTGTCTGTCTGTAAACAACGTCTACTTTGACCCTCAATCGCTGTAGTTGTAGCTGAGGCCTGGAAGCTGCAATTTATTAATTTAGTTTCCGATGCTCACTAAACAGCAGACCAATCACAACAGACTGGGTCATCTGACCAATCAGAGTAGAGTAAACCAATCACAACAGACTGGGTCAACTGACCAATCAGAGCAGAGTAAACCAATCACAACAGACTGGGTCATCTGACCAATCAGAGCAGAGTAAACCAATCACAACAGACTGGGTCATCTGACCAATCAGAGCAGAGTAAACCAATCACAACAGACTGGGTCATCTGACCAATCAGAGCAGAGTAGCCCAATCACAATAGACTGGGTCATCTGACCAATCAGAGCAGAGTAGCCCAATCACAACAGACCGGGTCATCTGACCAATCAGAGCAGAGTAAACCAATCACAACAGACTGGGTCATCTGACCAATCAGAGCAGAGTAAACCAATCACAACAGACTGGGTCATCTGACCAATCAGAGCAGAGTAGCCCAATCACAACAGACTGGGTCATCTGACCAATCAGAGCAGAGTAGACCAATCACAACAGACTGGGTCATCTGACCAATCAAAGCAGAGTAGCCCAATCACAACAGACCGGGCCATCTGACCAATCAGAGCAGAGTAGCCCAATCACAACAGACTGGGTCATCTGACCAATCAGAGCAGAGTAGACCAATCACAACAGACTGGGTCATCTGACCAATCAAAGCAGAGTAGCCCAATCACAACAGACTGGGTCATCTGACCAATCAGAGCAGAGTAAACCAATCACAACAGACTGGGTCATCTGACCAATCAGAGCAGAGTAGCCCAATCACAACAGACTGGGTCATCTGACCAATCAGAGCAGAGTAGACCAATCACAACAGACTGGGTCATCTGACCAATCAAAGCAGAGTAGCCCAATCACAACAGACTGGGTCATCGGACCAATCAGAGCAGAGTAGCCCAATCACAACAGACTGGGTCATCGGACCAATCAGAGCAGAGTAGCCCAATCACAACAGACTGGGTCATCTGACCAATCAGAGCAGAGTAGCCCAATCACAACAGAGCGGGTCATCTGACCAATCAGAGCAGAGTAAACCAATCACAACAGACTGGGTCATCTGACCAATCAGAGCAGAGTAATCCAATCACAACAGACTGGGTCATCTGACCAATCAGAGCAGAGTAAACCAATCACAACAGACTGGGTCATCTGACCAATCAGAGCAGAGTAGCCCAATCACAACAGACTGGGTCATCTGACCAATCAGAGCAGAGCAGTCCAATCACAACAGACTGGGTCATCTGACCAATCAGAGCAGAGTAGCCCAATCACAACAGACTGGGTCATCTGACCAATCAGAGCAGAGTAAACCAATCACAACAGACTGGGTCATCTGACCAATCAGAGCAGAGTAGCCCAATCACAACAGACTGGGTCATCTGACCAATCAGAGCAGAGTAGCCCAATCACAACAGACCGGGTCATCTGACCAATCAGAGCAGAGTAGACCAATCACAACAGACTGGGTCATCTGACCAATCAGAGCAGAGTAGCCCAATCACAACAGACTGGGTCATCTGACCAATCAGAGCAGAGTAAACCAATCACAACAGTCTGGGTCATCTGACCAATCAGAGCAGAGTAAACCAATCACAACAGACTGGGTCATCTGACCAATCAGAGCAGAGTAAACCAATCACAACAGACTGGGTCATCTGACCAATCAGAGCAGAGTAGACCAATCACAACAGACCGGGTCATCTGACCAATCAGAGCAGAGTAGCCCAATCACAACAGTCTGGGTCATCTGACCAATCAGAGCAGAGTAGCCCAATCACAACAGTCTGGGTCATCTGACCAATCAGAGCAGAGTAAACCAATCACAACAGACTGGGTCATCTGACCAATCAGAGCAGAGTAGACCAATCACAACAGACCGGGTCATCTGACCAATCAGAGCAGAGTAGCCCAATCACAACAGTCTGGGTCATCTGACCAATCAGAGCAGAGTAAACCAATCACAACAGACTGGGTCATCTGACCAATCAGAGCAGAGTAGCCCAATCACAACAGACTGAGTCATCTGACCAATCAGAGCAGAGTAAACCAATCACAACAGACTGGGTCATCTGACCAATCAGAGCAGAGTAGCCCAATCACAACAGACTGAGTCATCTGACCAATCAGAGCAGAGTAGCCCAATCACAACAGAGCGGGTCATCTGACCAATCAGAGCAGAGTAGACCAATCACAACAGACTGGGTCATCTGACCAATCAGAGCAGAGTAGGCTCTCGAAAAGGTCTCGAGTTTAGAGAGATTGAATCCTTGATCAAACCGTTAGACATTGTGTAAAAAAGAGGAGATGTTGCAATGTATATTATGAGAATTCTTTGTCGTTGGATGCATGTAAACCTGTTGTAGGAGACCTCCAAAACAAAATTGGGAGCCTTTAAAATAGCATAATAGGGGCACTTTAAAATAGGCATGGGTAATCCAGCCGTACAACTCCTGACAGATGATATAGCGCCCCATCAGGAGGCTTTACTGTTGTGGGATCTGTTGCAGATACCTGGGCAGGAAGAAGGTGAACCCTGGAGAGGAGGTGGCAGTGGAGAACGTGAGGAATCTGGTGCACGCCGATTACTCCTACTGGACGCTGTCTTACGCCATCTCTCTCCAGGGAGCTCAGAAGCTCCTCAACGCAGAACCCATATCCAAGATGCTTCCTGTGGATGAGTTCCTACCCATCATGTATGACAAGCACCCAAAGTGAGTGTGACACTCAAGTCCCCAGAGACTGGGACTAAACATACTTTAAATGTTAAAACGATTTGTGGGGTGTGTTGCAAACCCCTTATAGAAGTGATGTTTCTAATTTTAGTTGACAAAGTTTGCGTTCTCACCATAAAGGCATATGCATACTTGGATTTTCTCCTTGATTATATGTTAAACAAGTCTAGTTTCTAATGAAATGTTAGTAGTCTAGTTAAGTTACAGTCCAGAAATATAAAAAAAAACATATTTTTGCGAAGCAGGACTTAAATTGCTCACCACAAATGTGTGCTTTGATTTGGAGAGTTTTATTCTAAAAACTCTCTACATAGTTTCTTCACTATGTAATTGTACAAGTCATTTGAGTTTTATGGCGAGAGCGTTGAGACTTAAGCCAAGAAAGAAACTCCGATCTTGAGCTGGCAATAGCTTTGATTCCTCAGCGTGACTGGTTGTTTGTGCTGTGGGTTGGCATGATGCCATCCCTTTTCCTCTGTCCGTTTCCTCTCCATCTCTGACTCTTACTCGTTCTGCTCGGCACGTCCCGCCTGAAGCTCCTCATCCCCACAGAGACAGATCAGAGCAGCGTTCTCCTCGCGTTTTTCAATCTTTCCATCGATCCATGGCTAGAGACCGGCGTGCTGCTACTGCCCCGCTGACGGCTAACCCGTTAAACACCCTGCCCTGCCCTGCCCTGCCTTCCCCGTTCCGCATTCCAGCTACTTTAGCCGGCGTTTGCTTCGCTCTCCTTCCAGATCTGACAAAGCCATGGGCCGTCTGCCAGCTGGCCCCGGACATGCGTACCCAGAGGTACATGAAGTACCTCTACAGGCTTTTGCGGAAAGTAATTGATACTTGATTCATTTATTGGGGTAAAGTCAAACAGCACAAGCCCTAAAGTTATTCGCTCTTCTGGATCCAAAAGAGACATTAAATAAATAAGCGGTGACCTCTTTCTTTAGAAAGGTTGTAATGTTAGCATCACTAGTATTTTTTTTTTTAATTGGGATAAAATAGGAATTTATACATATACATAGTCAAGTCGATCCCTATTATATTATATTATTTTTCAATTGCTCATACTTAGGTTTAGGAATACAATATGAATGTATATTTAGATTTATACATATTGTTTATATAGTATAAATATTATATTATTAAATATGAATATATATATTTTTTTTTATTGCTCATACTTAGGTTTAGGAATAAAATATGAATGTGTGTATATATATATATATATATATATATATATATATATATATACTGTATGTATAATTTATTATATAGTATAAATATAATACTAAATAGTAATGCTACTAGTACTACAACCTTTTTTGCCTTGTGAATATTATATTATACTTCAAGTTAGGGATATTTAATATAAAATTATATATATATATATATATCCCTAACTTGAAGTACAATATAATATTTACAAGGCAAAAAAGGTAGTATATATATATATATATAATTTATTCTTTCCTTTTCCCTTAATCCCCCCTTGTCTGGCTTATTCTACTCTGAGAAATGCCTGCACTTTGTATTTTGAGCACTTCGTTGTTTTTGCCTCTTCACGATGACTCACTTAATTTAGTCCTAATTTGTAAGTTGCTTTAAATAAAAGCGTCTGCTAAATGTAAAAATAATAGCATTAATATTTAATTATATAATATTTATACGATATAATAAATTATACATAGTGTATATACACACACACACACACACACACTCCCATTTATGTTATATTTCTATTGCTATTCTATTATAACATCACATTGACCTAATTCCTCTAGCCTGTAATCATAAGGATGAGTCCAGCTACTGAAAACCATTTTATTTTGCTGTTTTTCACCCATTAATAGTGAGGACTACAAATCCCATTTTCCCAATCGGAATCTGATGGCGTACTCCACACACCCTCTTCTGGTGCAGCCCTGCCATTACGCCGGGGACCCGGAGTGGGTGAGCGACACCGAGACCTCTACGCTGTGGGACGATGACAACGTGCGCACGGACTGGAGGGGGTCCCATAAAACTCTGAAGGGTTCGCAGCCACCGGCCGGTCTGCAGAGCGCCACCTACAAGGACGAGTTGTGAAGTACCTGTACAGTCCCAAAGCATCAGAGACGGGTGGAGGGGTTAGAATGAGTGCGCAGCTCTTTATGAGGACACACGTCACTCATCAGGGAGACCTCGAAACTGTGGACGAGACGAGCGAGGCCTGGGACCAAACATTAGGAGGACACTTTCACTCCACAACAACAAAAATCTATTTTTAAATCACTATTTTTCTTGTTTTACAGTATAGATGTCTAAATATCTCCGACGAGATACATTTTCTTGTTAAGTAAAAGAAAAAAGATATTTAATTGCGAGATATTAAGATATGTGTTCAGATGATATATCTTAAATTAAATTTATTGGCATTTTTCAACAAAAAGCAGTGAGGTTTATGGCAAAACAAAAGCAACACACAAACAAGCAAAACAATTTCCCAATGAGAAAGATACAATTTTGAAATAGAAAAAAAATTGTTTTAATGGAAAACAAGGTCCTGTAAAGGCAATTTGGTACAGGGACTCTTATATTTGACCTCAGTTCAAGAGGGAAAAAGTTATGTATTTTAGGAGAGGGTTTTTGTCCATTTCTTTGGTTATTTTTTTCTTTCTTAACTATATATTAGCAATCACCTGGAACACCTGCAGGTGATAGGTGTGTGGGAGAAAAGACCAAATGAGTCGGGTCAAAAATCTAAAAAAACAAGGAAATCCCTCACACTATCAATACTTGCAAATGAGTATCAAAATTATATTAGCAACACTTCGGTCTCATGGCCTTCTTTGTATATGCCTGATCAAGATCATGAGACCGAAATGTTGCTAATAAAATTTGTATACTCATTTGCAAATATTGATAGTGAGGGATTTCCCTTTTTTTTTCTTAACTATACAAAAAGGTCATTTTATGAAGTGGTGCATTAGAATTTTATTACTGGATTGTATTTAAAGTTTAAACCGCTGTCGTGGGACTATCATGCTCAGACAATCCAACAAACAGAGCTTGTATATTTGATATGATCTGTGTTCATTCTGTTTTTTTTCTGATCCCATCATGTTCATTTGTTCTTATTTATTTCTCTTCCCTGTCTTATTCCCTTCTCTAACTCTCCAAAGTGAACAGCGGGACCAAATGAAATGACGTTACATTAGTGTGCATGGCAGTTCTGTTAAACTTGGTTGTTTTTGAAATAAAAATGTTTTTGAAAAATTACACATTTGGATGTCAGTCACATACCTTTTTTTAAGGAACAAGACCTACTTCACATAATTAAATTGATCAATAGAAATAATAAATAATGTGAACAAATCTGGCTGGTATTGATAAAAGTGAAATAATTTGTCTGAGACAGAGAGAATGAGGGTATATAAGCAGAGGCAGTAAACCCATAACTACTTAAGCCTAGAATAAAATATTAAGGAGATATTTAATAAGACTAACTTACCGTAACACATTCTGGAGGTGATTTCACTTCTGCTGCATCTCTATCGCCACCTTTTGGTTAGAGTACGAAAATACAACAACCACAATTTAGGTCTTTGCCTATCCAAATACCTACACTTGTGGTTTTTGCACTTGTCTACTTAAAGGGATAGTTCACCCAAAAATGAAAAATTCTGTCATAATTTTCTCACCCTCAAGTTGTTTCAAACCTGTATGAACACAAAAGATGATATTCTGAAGAATGTTGGTATCAAACAGCCATTGACGTCCATAGTTGGAAAAATAATATGACTACAATAAATAATGGCTACAGTAAACTGTCTGGTTGGTTACCAACCTTTTTTAAAATATCGTTTCGTGTTTAACAGAAGAATACAGGTTTGGAACAACTTGAGGGTGAGTAAATGATGACAGAAGTTTTATTTAGGGGTGAACTATCCCTTTAAATGACTAATTTATGACAGGAATGTGGCCAAAGTGTCCAAGGCATGAGGACTGCAAGGGTGTGTCTCGATCAGTAGTCAGGGCACTGATCAGGGATTCGGCCATTTTAAGGGCTGTCTGAATCGCAAAATCCATCCTACCAATGCACTGAAACATTTGCTCCGTAAAAAGTCCCACAATGCACTGTGAAAGGACTATTATATCAATGCGTTTGCTTTGCGAACGCAGTTACTCGGGGGAACGCAAAACTTTTGCGAGAGAACTCAAAATATATTTTCCCTACCATCTCATGTCTTTTTTCATCGTCATATTTTAGGGGCTCCGTACAAAAGTTTTTTTTTTTTTTTTAAATTAAAATGAAAACAAAAAAAATCTCGCCTTTAACAAAAACTATAATACTAAAAACAATGATGAGGGTGAATTTACAGTACATGGCTTATATGCAAAATAATAAAAGTTTGAAGCTTTCTGACATTATTCACAAGAGAGAGAATTCACATTTGAATAAAATTAATGAGTAGGCTAAGCTAAATCCAGTTTTTAGTGTTTTCAGTTCCAGATTCTTTAATCTACAAGACAGGAAACAATACAAAATTTAAATAAATAAATAAATGTTAAGTAAAAAAAAACACGAGTCAAACATTACAGTAGGCTACTACTGAATGACTCTTATGTTAACCGTTTCTCTCACGTTATCTAGGTGTTGAAAGTGGAGAGGATTGATACATGATTATTATATGACTCCAGCCAGCAGGGGTCATGTGACCACAGCTCAGGGGTAAGGAGGGCAAATAGAGGGAGGAGTGTTGGGCCATTTGTGGGGGTAAAACACCGTCCTCAGCTGAAGGCATTGCCCCTCGTGACCCCATCGAACCCTGTTTCATAAGAGCAGCAAAATGCCATCGCATCTGAGCTGTTCATTCTCAAACGGCACAATCAATGGCTGAGCTTATTGCACAGAAACAGCAGTTTGAAATGTCTCATCAGATGGTTTTGGTCCTCTGTCTGCGTAGTATATGATACATGTCAAACTGTTGGCTTTTTACCCAATGTTGTAGTGCTCTGATGACATCACAGTTGTTTGTAGACTAAAATCTGGTATGAACATTTCAAGAAGCAGTTTGCAATGCTTTAAATATAATTGTACAACCATTTAAAGTATCTGAACGAATGAATACAGCAATGTTTGGGTTGCCACTGCCGTCACTGATAGGCTTTTGTCATTGCTTCATCCAGTGTGTTGTCATATTTCCCTGACGGGGGTGGGGCTCTGTAAACCTCTTCTGATTGGTTGTTTCAGATAGGGAAGGTTTTGTGAGGTCAGCGACTCAGTGTCCATGTGTGTGGCTGAAACAGGGAGTTTTCACGCTCTCAAGGATGTTTTGTGCATGTAGAAATAGGTCAGCCAATAATGGTCAAAGTTCATGGTATCTGGAAAACTTGTTATTCTGTCTGAATTGTAAGACACTATATATAAACACTTTCAAAATCCCATTTTAGTAAACGTATGGTGGCCCATTTCTGCCACAGAAGAAAAAAATCGTATTTTGTAAATCACATTATGACATAAAAAGTCAAAATGATGAGATGAAAAGAAGAAATCATCACATAAAAGTCCTCATTATGAGAAGCTATGTTGAAATTCTGATAATTATGACATTAAAAGTCAAAATTGTGACAAAAGTCAGAATTATGACAAATATTATAATTATAACATAGAATATTTCAACTTCGTAATCTCACTATGTCATAATTATGATTTAGTATGTCACTATTATGACTTTTTATGTAACGTGTCTTCCATATAAATGTAAAATATTTCTAAAATGAATTTTTTCACGAAATGAGAATAATCAGATATCATATGTGCTTATTTGCATGCATACTGACACCCATTTTATACAGCATATTCATGTTTGTGTTGTATAATGGATGTTCAGAAATCCTGTTAGGAGCCCCATTATATTCCTCCTGTAATCCTCATCCATGTTCTCAATATTTTCCAGCAGCAGTGAAGCCTCCTGTAATAGAGCAGATGTCTGAGATCAAGCTTTCTGCTCTAATTGTGATCTGCTCTGAGGATAAACTGACAGCTGAGTCTCAACATGCCATCGAGCAAGTAAACCTATATATATACTGTATGTAGCCTATAAATCAATATAAAACCATAAGGTTTGAAACCCACACATATGAGTTTTAAGATTAATGTTTGATCATTGTGCATTTAAATTCTTAAACTTTGAAATCTCCCCATCTTTGGTTACATCTTTATAGTCTATATAGAAAATGCTTAAAATCAAGTACTTATGATTATATTATACACACTTACATATTAAGAAAATAATAATAAAATGAAATATAAATATATATTTCCATTATATATAGCCTATAATATAATAATATAATAGTGTGTGTATATATATATATATATACATATACATAATAAAAAAATATATATATATATTAAATTATTTTATTATTTCAGTATATAATAAAAAATATTATTTTATATTTTATTATATAAAATAATAATAAAATTGATAAAATATTAAATTATATTTCTTTCTTTCCTTAACCCAACATACCATTGGTTCCCCCGTCACACACACACACACCGTCCTGCTGTTGGTGGGTGGAGAGTTTACACTAGGGTTAGCATGTCTATTTGGCAGCTTGCAATGCAACCAATGGATCTGGGCTGCAGTGTGCACTAAACAGTAGCCTACACAACGTCCGCACCAGCAAAAATTATTTTTGTGTGTGTGTTTTTTCTTTCCATAGTGGATTTATTCATCTGACAGGTAAGCAATGCATGTGTTGTTTTGGAACTGTCTGGATCTCAAAACCTACTGAGCTGCCTGAGTAACTTAGACAATATTTTTGGCATGACAGAAACCGTTCTAAGGTTCTTAAGTGTACGTTGACCCGAAAACGACCACTTTTAACCCACTTTGAACGTTTCACACTTGTAATTTTTAATCCGAATTGTACAGTGTAAAAAAAAATGCCTGAACGCTGCGAGTTATTTAGTAACAAACAACCAATCATAAACCCCTCAGTACCGCATTCAATATCAATGCGTTTTTAGTAGTTTCAGCGTCTGAAAAAAAGTTATGTTATAGAGTGGCGGCTTTTTTGTGTGTGTGTGTGTAATATTCCTTTAATAGCGTGCTCGCCTCGTGGTATGTTGTAGCCTACCTGTCCGATTGATATGAATATGCAAAGATGTACGTACGACCTGGGGTTTGCAAATGTACAGTGTGATGTCGGCCTGAGGGAACTCCTCGAAAGACCCACCGTTAAGTTTGAACTCCTCGTCAGACACGTTGCAGCTCTGTTTGTTGTTCGGCTCAGCAGTTTTGAAGTTCGCCACACACACAGCTGTGCTCGTCCACATGCTCAGTCAGCAAACAGCCATATTTGAGCACCGGTTGCTCTGTTTATGAGCATATCTCAACAGCAGTCTCAAGCTCAACAAGCAGAGGACTTCGCTCTTTTACTAAGTTTTATATACAGTAGGTGAGCGACACTGATGTGAAGTTACTACTGACCTATCACTTCGTTCGCACGCTGATAGGTTTTTTTTAGTTGCCTTGTTTTTTTTTAGACGTTATCTAATGCATGTCCATCTGTTTTACAATGTTGTTGTTTTGCACGTTGTTATTATTATTTAGTTTAATATCAATTTCATCGTGCTTGCATTGCACAAATGCTTCAGCTTAAAACAAGCTTTTGCATCACGTTATGCAAAGACAAGTTGGTCATTATTGCATTATTTTTTAGGAACACGTTTGTTGACCAGTGAGTAGCCTTAAATAAGAAACTGAATTGTCTGTAAAACATTTCAGATGACAAAGCTTAACTAAAACTCTTATTAGTTATGGTGCTCACAGTGAAGAATGTTAAGAAATATACAGATGAAATTATACATGAGATGGATAATAAAGATTAAAATTACTTAGTGCTTGGCTTAAGTTCGTTTTTTTATTTTAATTTGTAACACTTTACAATAAGGTCCCATTTGTTAACTTTAGTTAATACTAACTGAGCAATCCATTTGTTACGGTATTTATTCATATTTGTTAACGTTAATTAATAGAAATACCACTGTTCATTGCTAGTTCATGTCACCTCGGGTCCATTAAATAAGAATAAATAACGATGAATAAATGTTTTAGAATCATTTTTAATTGTTAGTTAAAGGTGCAATGTGTAATATTTCTGAGGATCTATTGACAGAAATGCAATGTAAGATCCATAGTCCTATGTGTTCAGTGGTGTATAAAGACCTTACTCAATGAACCGTTATGTTTTTATTACCTTAG